TTCACTGGCAGAGGCATTGTGGGCTGGTCCTTTGTTGTTTCTAGGGCGGCCCCACGGGCCAGATCTAAGCACCCAGCAGGCTGGATCTGGCCCCCGGGCCTTGAGTTTGATACCCCTGGAGTAAAGCATCAGGCTAGAAACTGGAAAACTATGAATTCTAGTTCCGCCTTAAACACAAAGCCAGCTGGGTGACTTTAGGCCAGTCACTCTCCTTCAACCCTAAAGAGAAGGCAATGGCAAACCATTTTCAAAAGAATTTGCAAATAGTCACCAAGAGTCAAAAACTGACTTGAAGGCACCCACAAAATCCTTCCAACAACAGAATGATATCTGACCCTTCCATTTGGAAGGGCAAGTCCATAAGGAAAAATGGCTAAACATCCAAAATGTAGTCACATGATGTGACCCAACACCAGAACTTCAAAACAGGGTGATAATCCCGATCCTTTCTGGATGTCCATTGCTAACTTTGAAGGGCCACTAAATGACCAGTTGTTAAGTTGAGGCCTAACTGTAACAGAAACTTTGGAGATAACATGAAGCAAAGGCTTGGTAAAAAGGAAAGATTTTGGAATATTCCTTCTTCATTGCTTGCTGTTCCTCCTGAAAGGAACTCCAAAACTATCACCTAGTTCCTCAGCTTTATTGTTTTCAGAGAAATCTGATATACCGTCATGATATATAATATGTTTATATAATTTCAAATAGTACCTGGCACATATATTTCTAGGTGTTGAGGAACTTGTAGTTCAAGTGCACTTTCTTTGAAATTTTCCAGAACAAAGAACTGAACAATAATAATCGTAACTGTAATCATTACTGTAAACAGTAATGAAGAGTTACCAAACTGTTTAGTACATGGACTGAATTCTTCCATACTCCTTTCTCTTTCAAACCTTATGTAATACTGGAATTATTTGACATCTATAAAACAGCTCTCATAAAGTATTTTATAGAGCATTTTTCTTTTTCATAACACTGTTGACTGACTGCTTTTTCCACAAATTCCTTTTCTGGGTACAACGTTGTTCTTCAGTCTTTCAGTATTGCTATGAGTGAGTCAGCTCTTCATTGCCCATCAGAGATTTATTGATCTGAATTCCAACCGTAAAAAGCTAATGTCCAGTTTATATAACAAATTGAGTCTGGCATATTCATTTTTAAAAGACTTTTAGCACTTAGAACATGGTGAATAGAACACTTTATGTGGGATTTCTTTGTTTTTGAATTCTTCTTTCTTTCCTATTCATGTCTGTACAATCACAAGGGGTCCATCATCAACCTTGAAGGAGTCTTTTAAATTTAAATCCACTGGCCTCAAGCCCTGCCTCTCCTTCACATTTCTCCTTTATTAATCTTCATTGCATAATTGTTGAGGAGTAAATCAAAATTACTAACAGTTTTACGCATTTTCCAGATAAATCTTGCACTGCCCACAACATCCCTTCCAAGGGCTTGGAAGGATAAAAGAAAAAAGGCAGGCACTGAAGAATGTTGACACACTAATATTAGAATATGTGAAGAACTCTGCACTTAATTATATGTGTTCCCTAGGGATAATAATCTGAAAAAGTGTTAATTACAACTTTGGTTTTAATGTTAATTAATTTTGTGAAACAATCTATATTTAAATATGAAAAACTTCACAAATAAATAGAACAGAGGTTCAGTGTCTTCCTCCCTCCCTCCCTCCCTCCTTCCTTCCTTCCTTCCTTCCTTCCTTCCTTCCTTCCTTCCTTCC